GAATTTAAATGAGAATTTTTTTTTCCTATTGATTGGTGTAATTAAAGTTTTTATTATTGCTATTACTATTATTATTTTAATCAAAGATCTCCCAATAATGGAGACAAATGTCCTAAGTAGGTTATCATAGTAAATTGTGTCACCCTTCTTTATCTTTTTCATTAAAAAAAATCAGCCACCTCACTAGAAAGGGTAAATACCTATCCAAAAATCTCCTGGGATTGGGGAGTATCCTGGGATAATGTCTTATTTGTCACAGACTGGAAGATAAATACTCATCCCTTCAAAGACTATTTCTAAAACCTAGAGAGAAATGTTACCAACATCTTATACAAAATGAATTCCAGAAGTAAAAATTCTAGATGGTGCTAAGGTAGGTGACTTCCTAAAGCATTGGCAAATTGACTGCTGTGAGTGTAGCAATGATAATAGACTGACCTTAGGGAAAAACATCTATCTCTGTTGACTCTGTGGATTTTTCTCATAATCTGATGTATGTGTGGGAGGGGGTGAGAGTAGCGGCAACAGTTCTGATCCCACCTATTTCCATGGCATTTTCAAAATTCTACTGTACAATTTGTCATGTACCTTATTGCTATTACAGGGAAGGTGACTGTGCTACTTTTCAAAATTGAGGGAGTCCAATGGCCTAATTAATTCCCTGAATCAGTAAACTAAGCCTCAGATTCTATGGGCACATAACAACACAATATGATTAATTATTTTGTGTTTGTTCCTATAAATATCAATTCAGAGAACTTGTAGTTTTAAAGCCAGATATTGAATTATTAAGTAATAATAATGGCATTAGTGTAATATTAAGGAGCCCTGGCGGTGCAATGGTTAAGCACTAGGCTAACTGAAGGGTCAACAGTTGGAACCCACCAGTGGCTGTGCAGGAGAAATGACGTGCAATCTGCTCCTATAAAAATTTCAGCCCTTGGAAACCCCATGGGGCAGTTCTACTTTGTCCATTAGGGTTGCTATGAGTCAGAATTGACTGGACAGCACACAAGAACAACAGTGTAATAATAATAGCAAAGATACTAATAATTGATAATAAATAATGAGTACTTCCTATGTAGCTACAAGATAACAGGCCCTATCAAAATATACTATAATAAATTATTCATTTTAATCCTGATTTCAACTTTATGATATCTTAATATGCTAATTAATCATGAACAAAAATTGAAACATAAAGTTAGATGGCTCGTGGATGAAGAGTCAGACCTGAATTTCAACTCAGCCTGCCTAACTCCAAATCCTATGTGTTGACCACCACAATATAATATCATTCGAAAAGGAGAACAAGTGAACGGTTATTTCTATTCTTTTTCTCTTCTACATAAGTCCTTCAAACAGAATCTCAAACAAAAAATAATACATGGGCAATTTTAGAAATAGCAGCCTCGTTAGGTGAGATTTCTATGAGAACTGGTGGGATCAAACTTGTTTTAGGAGATTAATCTGAGTTCAAAGTAGTATGAGATGAATCCTTCAAGAGCAGTGAGGTTGTTCTGGAAGACTCAGTCTTCCAGACTGATTTACTATTTACTGATTAACTACTGAACCACCTAAACAGTATTCTAGGTACCATGAGGACTCAAGGAAGAAAAATTAGATTTTGATCTCAAGGAGTTTGTAAGCTGTTTATGAATATCGGATTCACATTTATTAAATAGATTAGTGGACATGTCCCTCACTGGATGATCTTGTGAATGTGACTTAAAATGAAGGTATAAATTACATAATTGTTAACATTCCTTCCAGCACTAATATTCTACAATTAAATAACCTATCATAAAATTCATATAATAGTAGAAAATATTTCAAAAACAGAGGCACTATATAGTATTTTTTAAAAGGCATAGTGATATTTTATTTTGATAAGTTACCTTAAACCAAGAAAATATACCAAGTCATAAGCCTTCGTGTATTGCAGTCACATAATTGCCAATGGCAATTTCATATGATGCAGTCTAATTTTGATTTACATAACTTCGTTATACGTTTATATAACATATAATGCAAAGACTTAGCAGTACAAGGAAAATTTGCTTAATCTGTACTCATGACAGAAAACTGCAAAAACACTTCTTTCAAAGATAGATCAGGAAAAACAAAAAAGGATAAACAGAACCTGAATAACACAGTTAACAAAAATGACCTATTAGATGTACTAATGTAAACAGAGTATACATTTCTTTGCAATAGTTTTTGGAAAATTAATATCTACTGTTCAACACATAAGCATCTTAGATCAATCATAAAATTCTGAGGGTAGTGTTTAATCATTTAGGCTATATCCAAAGAAAAAGTGTCCAGAGTAGGCATAACAAAGAAATGGCAGGATATTTGTACCAGGTTTTGAAGAGAAAAGCCAGCAACAACATGAATGCCTTGGGCTGAAGATCCCTCAGACTCTGGAGTCACCTCTGTGAGCCCCCAGGCCTCTCTGTCTTAGCATTCTTCAATTTCTGGGCTAAAGTGATTAGACTTCTCAGACAAAGCTCGAGAAACACAGCCTTCTAATCCAGGAGAACAGGAAAATTTAGACCTCTTGATGGGTCATAAGTGAGAGGAAGAGAAACTGTTTACAAGAGTTGGACCTAGGTGTGAGGAAGACACCTCTGACTATGCAAACTCCACCTGTACAACTTCCTCTTGCACCTGAGTTGACTGAGGTCAGGGCACTCTCTAGAGAATTTTGATGAAGAAGGGGGAATTGTAGTATGACTATCTACATAAAGTTGAACAAATTAGTCACATCTCTGTGCTTCAGTTTCCTCATCTGTAAGAAGACAGAAATAATCTCTACTTCATAGGATACCATGTATGTTCACCATTTATCCTGGCAAGTATATAATTTTTATCTATTATTTACTGTCATCATTATCATCATTAAAACAGATAACTAGGTATTCCATTGGAATATATATACCAGGGTTCTACTTCATAGAAAATGCAAATTAAAACTATTTCAGAAAAGGAAAAGATACAGTCTGCCTTTGTTCTTGTTATGTTGTGGTGGTGGTGGCGCTTGTGGTGCTTAAATTTTATTTCTGTTTGGTGACATTTTGTAGAGTTATTTATTTTATTTATCTACTCATTTGATTGTTGTTCCCAGTGAGAATTACAACACAGTTACATATACATACCCGATTTTAACCATTTCTAGCACCAATCTCTAAATGAAAATAAATGTTTACCAAGACATTATAGAGCTTTCAAATGTGCACAGTCTCCTTTGCCTCAGGAGTGAGAGTTCAAATGTTATATAATGTTTAGGGAAGAAATTTGCACAGCGTAGATGCATAAAATTTTTCTCTGGTATTTCAAGAGTTGGAATTCCTTCAGTATAGTGTCAGATGCCCATCTTCTATCCTTTCTCTGTCAAGTTATTTATTTATTTTTAAAATCCTGGCTCACGAAAAAGGCTGTCTTCTCTTCTTAGTGCTTCTGGAGGGTTCCAGGCCATTTTGCTCTGAGAGGGGAGATTGTGTTTCCAGGCATGCCAAAATAAATTGATCTCCATTATTGACTTACCTTAGTTACTCACGACACCGTTACTTTCATTGTTGCGTGCCGTCAAATCAATTCCGACTCAGAGCGACCCAGAGGACAGAGAAGAACTGCCTCGTTGGGTTTCCAAGCCTGCAATCTTTATGCAAGCAGACCGTCACATCTTTGTCGTGCGGAGCGGATGGTCAGTTCCTACCACTGACTTTTTGGTTACCAGCCTAGTGCTTAACAACTACACCACCAGGGCCCTTTATTCACTTTGGCTGCCTGCAAAATTTCAATTCTCTAACCTCCTGCTGAATACTCCATTCCCACTCTAGCTTATTTGCACCTATAATTTTATTATTGTTATTGTTATTATTATTTTTATAATGCCTTCTGATCATATAATATTTTTCCCATATAGCTTCCGTTTAGAACTCTTTTTAAGTGCAGAGATGCAGCTCTTCTTAAAAATTGACTAATTTTTCTGGGACCTCACACCAAACATTGTCATATCCCAGGATAAGAATGAGACATAAATCTTGGGAGAGAAAAGCAACATTTACAGGGCATGAGTAAAAGATTTGGTGCTGTGTGAACATTGTATTTGCATAACACACATACATGCTCTCTCTCTCTCTGTCTCTCACACACACACACAATGACTTTTCTTTGTAAGAGAGCCTAGATCTTGCTCAAGGACATATTCGTGATGCCAAGGACAAGATCAATTTTGACACAACCATCTGGATATTTTAAGCTATTAAAACAAGAAAAAAAAAGAAACAAAAAGTCAGTTTATTTATGTTTAATGTACTATATTTAATAAATACTCATACAGAAGTTATATTCCAGTCACATAAATAATGTACAAATATTTACTCATTTAATCCTCTGTCGCAGAATTGTTTAGTAACCAAGAGTACACATACATTAAATGTCACAGCTAAGATTTAAACCCAGTCATCTGTTGCCTAGCAATTCTGTTCTTCACTATTATGTTGGGCTACCTTCCTGGATAACAAGTTTTCTTCTGTGGAATTATCTAGTCTATTCTGTGAGCACTTTCTTTTTCCCAGAATTTTTCTCAACTCTACTTTCATTTACAAAGAAAAATGTGATTTTAAGGTAGGAAACATTGATCTTTGCCCCTAAAGAGCTTGCCAATTTTCATAATTCTACCAGGTCTCATCAACTAAGCTCTTTTCAGCTTGATAGGAACTAATATTATATCTTCACGTCCATAGCATTTAGTGAGTTACTGTATCATGAGACACCACCTTCTGAGAGATATCATCTGGTATTGAGAATAATTTCTAATTATACACTTTAAGAAGAAAAAAAAATTAGAGAAAATGCAACACTTTGATTTTATTAACTTTCTATTTCTTCAGAAGAGAAAAAAAGACCTCCTTGGTTCATTCATCACTCAACTCAACTCACATTTGTTGATACCTTCTATTTTGAATGAGAAAAACAAGAAAACCAAGAAGATGTTGGAGAATAATTATACCATGCCAAATGAGTTCATTTTTGTTGGATTCACAGATTATCTACCTCTTAGAGTCACGCTATTTCTGGTATTTTTCATAGTTTATACATTAACTGTGGTAGGAAATATGGGCTTAATAATTTTAGTTAATGTCAATTCAAGCCTTCAAACCCCCGTGTATTATTTTCTTAGAAACTTGTCTTTCTTAGACATCAGTTACTCTACAGCAATTGCTCCTAAAATGCTGATGAATTTCTTAGCATCTAGGAAGAGTATCTCTACCTATGGATGTGCACTACAAATGTTTTTCCTTGCTTGTTTTGCTGATGCTGAGTGCCTCATCCTGGCAGCAATGGCATATGACTTCTATGCAGCCATCTGTAACCCACTGCTCTATTCCACGCTTATGTCTAGGAGAGTCTGCATCTGTTTCATTGTGTCGGCCTACTTAAGTGGAAGGATGACTTCAGTGGTGCATGTGTGCCTCACATTCAGGCTTCCATTTTGCAGCTCCAATGTTGTCAACCATTTTTTTTGTATATCCCCCCTCTCCTGGCTTTATCATGTGCAGATACCCATATCAATGAGCTTCTGCTCTTTGTCTTGTGTGGCTTCATCCAGACCAGTACTTTCGTGGTCATATTTATCTCTTACCTCTGCATCCTTATTACTGTTTTGAGCTTCAAGTCCTCAGGAGGCAGAAGCAAGACATTTTCTACCTGTGCTTCCCATCTCATAGCAGTCACCTTATTCTATGGGACACTCTTGTTTATGTACTTACGTCCTACCACCAGGTATTCTCTAGACACTGACAAGATAGTTTCAGTATTTTATACAGTTGTCTTTCCCATGTTTAACCCAATAATCTATAGCTTCAGAAATAAAGATGTGAAGAATGCTCTCAGAAAAACTATTAGAAAGGTACTGGACTTTCAAATAAATAAATAATATTTTTATTTCATTTGAGAATATTTGAGGATTAATCTCCCCTTCTGATATCTCCATTTTCAACTACTCCATGCACAGCTTATGATTCAACAATTTTAAATGTATCAGTATTTGCTAAAAATAAAGAGAACATTTTAATCTCAATGTCTTCCAATACTCTGCCGTTTCTTCCAGAAATATTCCCTATCAATGCTTCTACTGTGTGAAACATTTCTGAATTCTAAAAAGACAGTTTAACTGTTTTCCAATGAGTGTTCCTAAAGTAGTTTGTACATTGATTCATTAAATTATTTATCACGCTGTATTGAAGATATATGTTGACCTACTGTTAACACACCCACATTAGAAGATCCTTGGTTGCAGGGAACATGTATTATTGGTTTATTTTTGTATGAGTTGGAATCTGCTCAATGGCAATGGGTTGTTGGTGCTGTTATATAGCACCTGGTACATTGCATGTCCTCATTACATGTGTGTTTAATGACTTGATGGATGAATGATGGATGGCTGAGAGGATGGATGAGTAGATAGATGGATAAATCTTTCAGTTAGTGCTTGGGAAAATAAGTCTATATCTTGCACTTACATAGCATTTATCATCAGGGAAAGTTGATGTTAACAATGATAGATGGTGGTTGTGGTTGGGAGAGGTGTGGTTAATCGGTTCTCAGGAAATCAGACAGAAGACATATAGCAATAGCTCTTAAATATTAGATCATAGTGATGTTTGGCTCTCTTTAGGTGAGATTTATTGCTACAGGAGATTCCGTACTCTTCCATTCACCATGAATATTTGTGAAAACCAAATAAGATTGTGAAAACTATTAAGATTTTAAACTCTGTAAATTACTTATTATTTCTACATATAACTGAAATTGCCTTTGAGAAATGTCTTTAAGAAAATGTTAATTTCTCTGATAATTTTCTCATGGAAATTGGCAATGCAAACTAATTGGAGTGTAAGCAGCTTTTTCTCTTGGATTATTTTTTATCATTAAGATATCATATATTTTCTATGGTTACTTTGGATTCTTCAGGGTCTGTTTACTTTTCATTTTATCTTGAAAAAGTTGAAACAATAAATTATATGCATGTGAATGTATACTACTGTGTATTTTGCAGTAATTAGGAAACCATAGATGGCAGCATTAGTTATACTGAATGTACTCCATTGTCAATTTAATACAAAAAATTTAGCCAAATAAATTTTTAATGAAATACTATGTAGTATTTGAGTGTCTCAGTGTCCTATTTTGTAAATGGAGCCAGTAAGATATTACATACTGGATAGTATTGTTTTGAGAATCAAATAAATGAACATATGGAAAGATACTAGTACACACATGATTTGAGGATTAAATAAGCTAATAGATATAAATTTCCTTGAATATTTGCAAAAACTCTTAGAACAGTGCCTAGCACATTGTATCAGCATACAGTGTTTGTTTTTACCATTATTATATTACTGCTGGATTTTAAGACCATATGAGGTGTTCAGTAACCTGGCAGAGCTGGACATTATTATCTAAGAGAAGTACCTTGATCCTTTGGCAGTGGGCATTTATGTCACTTGATTATAGAAACACAAGTACCTCTCCTGATGGAAATTGAAATAGGATAAAATAGAAGTATGATGTGGTAGAAGCTTGTTTATATCACAATTTTGTCTCGTCAACATTTATCACTTGAGAAGTAACAGCATGTTCTTGAAAATATATAATTAATCAAGGCAGGAACCTGATCTTCCTCCTCAGTGTTCATGGTTAAGGGAACACCATCTTCTTCCCCATCTTCACCAGAGGCTTGGAAGTGCAGTTGATGAGATGCTTTATGACATGTCAGAACTTGTGACCTGAGTCATCATCTCAGCCTTGATTACCAGTATTGATTTGCCTTAGTATTTAGCTGTAATTACTTCCCCTGTAGGTTTTCAAGACGGCAGCCTGTAAGGAATCTGCCTTGGTATGTTAATCATGACCCTCCACCTCCATCATTTCTTAGGAGAAGCTCATCTGTTTTGGCTTTTTTATATTAACAAGTGTTACTTCATATTTTACTAGGGGATATACTGTCACAAAAACTATGTAGACCACCATTTGGCCTACACTGGTCATCTGCTTTTTGGAAAGGCATGCATTTACAGAAGTGTTGGTAACTATTGATTATTCTGCTTGTGCTGCAGGCTGTTTCTTGATTTTTCTGGAATTCAAATAAACTCTTAATTTATATTCAAGATCACATATTACAATATATTTCTTTGGGTCCCGAAAATGCATCTACTATCTGAATTGTGACTTGATATCATGATGTTTGAGTTTTGGAAAAGATATACATTTTTTGTTTTTATTTTTTTACAAAGGGAAATATATTTTACCAAAGTGAAAAGCTGAAATATCTTCTGAACAATGATCAAGAGGACCTGGAGCTTTGTGATTAGTTCCACTCTCAACAGACCAGAAACAATGTTAATGATCCAACCTGTGGACATCTGAGATTCACATCTATGCAATGAGCTCCAGTTTGTGTCCGCAGAAGAAAAGGAACCAAACATAAAACCCCTTTAAGAATCATGGACACCTGGTCTCCTTCATTAGACGCTCCATGTATTCTGAACTTTGCTTAGCTGTGAGTATCTTCGATAAGTGGTGACGTAGGTTTGTTTTTATAGTTCTAACGTTTTCTCATCTTTTCATACTAAAAAAATCTTGTACCAGTTTTATAACCTTAGTTTTATTCCCAAAGAGCCAGAAAATACAATTTCCTAACTTGTGGTTCATTGATATCTCAATGGAGCTATTCTCTTTTTGTGAACAGCAGTATTTACAAAATACTTACATCCAATATTTTCTTATATCTGTTATTTTTTTAATTGAATTTAATACTTGGTTTATATAGTAATTTAAAGTTACTTGTAACTTTATGGAAAATTCATTAAAATATAATATCTGATCATTGCAATGTATTTTAGCTATATTTTAAAGAAAATATTTTTTTTACCGTCTTATTCAATAATAATTTTTGGCTATCATTTAGAGTCAATGTTTCTTTACTATTGCAATAATAAGGTATTAGGAATTATTTTCTACTTTCTTTGGGTTTGTTACTCTAGCTCATCTGTAAAAAAACTGGAACTTACAAATGGCACTTAATTCCCAGAGCTCAGGACATATTTTGCTACAGCAAGTTGCTGCTTCCTACTACAACTCTAGTGTGTCTGAATGAAATCATTTTACATTAAAGTATTTTCTTTAAATAACACTATCTAAGCTACACTTTCAGGTCTTTCAGTATACCAGGGTTTTCGAAAGTTTTTTTTAATATATACTTTTTATTTTGAAGTCTTATGCTGTTTTGGTATTTGATTTTTTGCTTCTTTAGTTCTAAAAACCATTTTAAATCATAAATCATTCAGGGTATACTGTTTTAAAGTGCATATACATGTATACAACTATGAATTTATATCTGTAACATAAAATTTCACATGGCGTTGAATCAATTATATATTTATTTGTATATGATATGCTATAATAATATGAGACAATTCGTAAAACATATTTGTACATATTTTATAATAAATTCTTTTATAAATGTTATGTCAGCAAAATCATATTTTATAGGCAAACCTCCATGAAAGCATACACTGAGCTATATAAGCTTTGGTTAACAACTATGCATAGTCCCACAGACTGGAGACAGAATAATTTTGATAATCATTAACTCTTCCTATAGCCATTTGGCTGGGTTCCCTATTTCACTATAGTTAGAAATGTTTTCAACTTTCGTATTTTTCTCATCAATATCTTTATTTTCCACTGTGTTCTTGATCACTGATGATTGTATATTTTCTAATACTCCTTTGGTGCCATAAATAAAAAACAAATTATGTGGAGAAATTTATTTTCTTTTTTTTTTAAGCAAATACCTTTATTTTAAAATGACCTTTCAAGATATTGATCTGAATTTTAGAATAATTTCATTTGAGTATGTCATTAAAAAAAAAAACAAACCAAACCCGTTGCCGTGCAGTTGATTCCGACTCTTAGTGACCCTATAGGACAGAGTAGAACTTCTCCAATGGGTTTTCAAGGAGTGGCTGGTGGATTTGAACTGCCAAATCTACTTGGTTCACAGCCATAGCATGCTGTGGCTCATAACCACTGTACCACCAGGGCCTCGAGTATGTCGCTAGGTTCTGAAATTTTGTTTCCTGTCTTTATGTTCCTAATAGAATATGCACACTTAATAGTATTTTAAAGAGACTTATCTTATCTGGAAGAGATCACTGAGTGGTAACAAAAATCCTGCATTTACTGGCAAAATGAATCCGTGTTCTATTTCAAACTCTAACAGCACAGGAACAAATCATACCTTGACCCTCGAGGGCACTTTTCTCTATGTTTTGTTTTCTATTATGAGTTCAACAACAACAACAAAAATAGTGGTTAGAAATATTACTGCAAACTGACTGAAGTAATGTGGAGAGCTTGATTTCACTGGAAAAATACTGCCCTTTGATTACAGTGCCCAAATCCACAGAAATTCAAGAAATCTAAGAAAAATGACAAAATGGCAATTAAAAGTAATGAGATAGGATTTTCCTGGATTTTTTTTTTTTTTTTTTAAATATCTTCCCTTTCATTTTGCAGCTTCAAGTGCAATGAAATGATTGATAGGGATCTGAGGGCAGAATGTGTGGCAAATATACCTGATCACCTTGGACCCGTTCTGGTGCTAGAAAGCTGGACATAAGCTGGTGGCAAGTATTTGAGAGAAACTGGGTGAAATATAAGAATGAGTATATGATAGAGGGATCAAAAGCATGGCTTCTTGATCCGGACTGCCTGGGTTTGAATCCCAGCTACTCTACTAATAGCTGTATGACATTGGTTAAACTATTTAACCTCTCAGTGCCTCAATTTCCTTAGGTCTAAACTATAGATAATGATAATATTTAATGCTATTATATTGTTTAAAATAAAAATAATTGCACTCAATAAACATTAACTATTCGTATCAGGAGCCCTAGTGGAGTAGTGGTTAAGAGCTTGGCTTCTAACCAAAAGGCCGGTAGTTCAACTCTACCAGCTGCTTTTTGGACACTCTATGGGGCAGTTCTAATCTGTCCTATAGGGTACCTATGAGTTGGAATCAACTGTGAGGCAATGGGTTTTGGTTTTTTATTAGTATCATCAAGGACTTGGGTGAGAACAGTTAACGTACTCGGATACTAACTGAAAGGTTAGAGGTTCAAGTTCACCCAGAGGTACTTTAGAAGAAAGGCCTGGTGATCTACTTCTGAAAAATCAGCCACTGAAAACTCTATGAAGCACAGTGATGCTCTAACACACACGAGGTTACTGGTTATTTAGCACTGCACTCCCCATGCCCTCCAGCTATCACAGTGCTTTTTTACTTGACAAAGAAAGCGTGTTTGCATCGCCAATCACAAGAGGCTCAAGTGAGAGCTTTATGTGGTCTGTCATCATAAACGCTTGTTAAGATATATATTTCCTGCCCTTTATTTAGATTTAAAAAATCTACTGCCTACATTTATGACTTTGATTTATTCCTTGAAGATCCAGTACTAACATGTTATGAACTTGAAAAATAGCTATTTCTCATGGCTTTGACATTCAGATGTTTTCTTTCCCTGTACACTTGATTTCCTTGCTTTTACTTTCTCTTCCACATGAGTCCTGTTTCTTCCATGCTCTGGGATTGAGACTTGTTCATCAGTATCCTGTCTCAGATCATTGCTACGTCCACAATTTGAAACCACATGCCACTTAAACCGGCAAGAACTTTGTTTTTTAACTCTGTCTCTCTGGAATGTTATACATATTCTAGTTTATATTATACAAATTCTAGTGTCTTAGTTCCTGTTTATGGCTTATTTGTAGATGGGGAAAATATACAGAAAGTCAAGGACAGAGCTATATCAGAATCCAGACCATCCTTATTCTATTATATTCCAAAGGTGTTCCCATAAGCAGCCTCCCAGAAGAAAATTGGTTACCCTTGAGAAACACACACAAATGTCTGTTCACCTCCATTTTTTTTTAAGTTGAGCTTATTTCAAGGTTATAAATGCCTTTTGATTTCCTATTTTATGATCTGGTTTTATTAACAGAAAAAAGAAAAAAATTCTTTGCTACTTCCAAGCAAAGTATTTCCTCTTTTCCATGGAACGGTTACACTCAGTTCACTATGCTTCCCATGGTCACTGATGGAAAATATAGGCAGAATATAATTTGTAAATTAAGAAAGGAGATTCTTGTTTTGATTTAGCAATACCCTGAAGATTGCTCCCCAGGCTTACTCAAACCTCAACACAGTAGACGTCAAGTTCCATGAAGGCTATTATGGATTGAATTGTTTCCCCTCAAAAAATGTGTGTCAACTTGGCCAGTCCATGATTCCCAGTATTGTGTGATTGTCCACCATTTTGTCTTCTGAAGTGATTTTCCTATTTGTTGTAAATCCTACTTCTATGATGTTAATGAGGTAGGGTTAGACCTAGTTATGTTAATGAGGCAGGACTCAATCTACAAGATTGTGTCTTAAATTAATATCTTTTGAGATACAAAAGAGAAAAGCAAGCAGAGAGATATAGGGACCTCATACCACCAAGAAAGCAGAGCCAGGAGCTTGCGTCCTTGGACCTGGGGTCCTTGTGCTGAAAAACTCCCAGACCACGGAAAGATTGATGACAAGGACATTTTTCCAGAGCCCACAGAGAAAGACTTCCCCTGGAGCTAGCACCCTGAATTCAAATTTCTAGCCTCCTAGACTGTGAGAGAATAAATTTCTCTTTGTTAAAGCCATCCGCTTGTGATATTTCTGTTATAGCAACACTAGATAAGACAAGGACAAACTCCTATATCCTTCTTTAGATCTCTAATGTCATAAATAGTGCCTTGCACAGAAGGCATGTTCACTGAACTGATAAACAGATATGCAATTTATCCTGTAGTGAGATAGACATAAAAAGGGCATGATAACAGTAGAAAAGATGACAAATTTATATATACACAGAATAATATCCAGGAGGGGAATAGGACAATAGGAAGAGGAAAAACAATTCTTTTTATAGAAAATAGATTTGTATAAATTAATAAAAGTTATATGAAGTGGGAGTGAATATTTTTGGCAATTAAAACCCATAAATATTTTCTGTGAATACCCACGGAAGTGGGAAAAGTGTAAATAGAGAATATTCTTCCTTCTCTGGGTGTTAGCGAGATAGAATGCTGTCTTCTAGATACCCTTGAATACTAAATAACAAATGAAAAAATTGCTTTATCTCTTTTTCACAAATCAACTTTTCTGGATGGTAGAGTCATCAGTCTTCCAAATGTGGGATCTCGGCAGAAGATGAGGCTAAAAGATGTCTGAGTTTTTAGAATTGGGAAGAAAGGAGGTTGCATTTCATGGAAGTCAGCACTGTGACCTGAACTGGGTGTGAAAAAACAGGAACAAGCTAGCCATAGGATAATGGAAAATTTGTTATCACTTATTACTGCTTTGTTTTTACTTATGAAAACAGAGAGCTTCTATATGTCATTGAATAAAGTCAGAAGTTTACAGCCAGGCATATATGGGTTTAAATATCAATTCTACCAATTAATAGCTTTATGATCTAGTAGAGTTTTCTTATCCAAGTTTTTATGATTTGGCAACTGATAAGCAAGAAATAAAATAATCTCTAGTTCCAAAAATTTGAGTCAGTATATATGAATTAGCTAGCATACATATGGTCCCAAACTGAAGTTAATTTATTTTCTTCATTTGACTACAGGGCAAACCTAAACGCTTTGTGCAGTTATGGATACTGGATCATGAAGGAAGCCATAATCTTTTTATCTGAGTGATATTATCATGTTCCACAACTAAAGAGCTATATAAACCTAGATGCATGGAAGGTTGGAATCATACAGGTGTGAAAGAGTTCCTTCTGGTAGGATTAACTGAAAATCCAAATTGGCAGATCCCTCTCTTTTTGCTTTTCACCCTCATTTATTTCATCACCCTGGTAGGCAACTGCGGGATGATTATTTTGATTTGGTTAAGCGTTCGACTTCATACTCCAATGTACTTCTTCCTTAGCAACCTCTCTTTCTGTGATATCTGCTACTCTACCATCTTTACTCCTAAAATGCTGGTAAATTTCTTATCAGAGCATAAGTCCAGTACGTTTTCTGGATGTGTATTACAGAGTTTCTTTTTTGCAGTGTAATGTAACTACAGAGGCCATCCTCCTGTCTGTGATGGCTTATGACCGCTATGTGGCAATAGCTAATCCCTTGTTGTATACAGTCATCATGACTCAAAGGGTTTGTATTCAGATGGTCCTTGTGTCTTACTTAGGTGGACTCATTAATTCCTTGACACAGACAATAGGTTTGCTCAAATTAGACTTCTGTGGTCCTAACATTGTGAACCATTATTTCTGTGATATTCCCCCTCTTTTGAGACTCTCTTGCTCTGATGCCCACACCAATGAGATGCTGCTTTTGATCTTTTCTGGGGTTATTGCAATGTTCACTTTCATTATCATCATGGTCTCTTATGTCTGCATCATCATTGCCATCCAGAGAATCCGCTCAGCTGAAGGGAGACACAAAGCCTTCTCCACGTGTGCCTCGCACTTAACTGCTGTGACCTTATACTATGGGTCTGTGACTTTTAGTTACATCCAGCCAAGCTCCCAATATTCACTGGAACAGGAGAAGGTCTCTGCTGTGTTTTATACATTGGTGATTCCCATGCTAAACCCGCTGATTTACAGTCTTAGGAATAGTGATGTGAAAGATGCTGCAAAAGGTCAATATTGCGGAAGAGAACTCCCACTTGACTGAATCCTATGCATGCTTTTGCTAACCCGACATTAACCAGCAAAGAGATAGGAGACTTTTAAAATTGTTTCCTAGATATAATCACAAGCAAAAATATGATCAAAATATTCTCATGCAATTTGGGGCAGAAGTGTTGAATATGACATGAAGATTAAAAATCATTTTAATTCACCTTTCATGGTCTTGGTGATGTAATACCTTAATTTCTTCAAAAGCTGGTAAATCCTTTATTTTTTTTTTCCCTGATAAATTCTTGTGCTAAACTCTGAAAGCGCTCACTGTGGATTCAAAAGAATCAGACACTGCTGAGGTATTAAAAGCTTGTAAGTGGCCATCTAAGACGTATCTACTGGTCCCATCTAGTCCAGAGCACAGGAGAATGAAGAAAGCCAAAGACATAACAGAGATACTAATTCAAAGGACTAATGGACCATAGGTAACACAGCGTCCACCAGCCTGAGTCCAGACTGACATAGTGCCTGGCTACCATCACCAACCACTCTGGCAGGGATCACAATAGAGGGTCTCAGACAGAGCAGGAGAAAAATGTAGAACAAAATTCAAATTCACAAAACAAAAGACCAAATTTATTGGTCTAACAGAGACTGGACAAAGACAGAAGCTATGGCCTCCAGACACCCTTTTAACTTAGAACTGAAGTCACTCCTGAAGCTCACCCTTCAGCCAAAGATTAGACAGGTCTATAAAACAAACAATAACACACGTGAGGAATATGCTTCTTAGCTCAATAATGTATATGAGACCAAAAGGGCAACACCTGCCCAAAAACAAGGAGGAGGAGGCAGGAAGGGACAGGAAACATGGATGGATGGAAATGGGGAATTGGGATGTAGAAGGGGAGAGTGTTGACACATCACGGGGACTGCAACTAATGACACAAAACAATTTGTGTATAAATTGTTGAATGAGAAACTAATTTGCTCTGTAAAGTTTCACCTAAAGAACAACTAAAAAAAAAAAAAAAAAAAAAGAATCAGACATTCCCTCAAATTAAAAGAATATTCTAGGACAGGGATTTACCAAATGCATTGGTGTCTCAGAGAGAATTTGAAATATTCCCTTAGTCCAATTCTCTAAGATCAATCACACGAATTGGTTTTGTTCTAAAAATGCCATCATTCAAGTAAAAATATATATCTTCCATTTTGTATTTAAATTTGCATATTTCTATAGTATCCTTTAAAAAATGGCTATAGAAAACAACAACTCTTATTATTTATAATTTATTTATTCAACACACTTCTACTGAGCACCTTTATTGTGCCAGTTACTCTATGTGATCCAATCCTAGAAAGGTTTAAGCTATGGAGCAAAAGCTGTTAGAGGAACAGGGAGTAGAGGAGCATGGAAAATGGGAAGGACTTTTTAAAAACATGACAATACACGAGTTTAATTCTAGAATGGAATGTTTAAACAAAAACGGTAGAAAATAAGGCCGACAAATCATTGAGAGCCATGTGTGTGAAGGCCCTTCAATGCCAGATAACATGGTTTAAAACTCTCTCAATGCATAGTAAATGAAGCCCTAAATGAAATATAAATAAAATAGAAAAATTCTCATGATGACACTGTTATCAACATACTGGAAGGCAAGAACAATTTGGGGAAATTACTCTAAAGCTATAATACAAAAAAAAAAAAAAAAAGAAAAAGGAATTACTCTGAGAAAGATAAGAAGTATTACAGGTGAGCAACAGAAAGAAGGTGAGTAATTTAAAAGATAATTCATGAAAATCATCAAAAGGAGTTGAAAAATAGATTTTTTATTTTTGAGGGAGAGCGTATAATGGATGGAAGACTTTGAAACTGTGTAACTAGCAAGACAAATTGGCTAAGGGGGAAAAAAGATGAGATATTATATATATAACCAAACCAAAAACCCACTGCTGTCAAGTTGATTTTGACTCTTAGTAACACTATAGGACAGAGTAGACTGTCCCATAGGGTTTCCAAGGAGCGCCTGGTGGATTCAAACTGCCAACCTTTCTGTTAGCAGCTGTAGCTCTTAACCACTATGCCATCAGGGTTTCCCTTATATATATGTCTATATGTATGACATTAGAATTCCTGAAGAAAGAGCTTTCTGAAAAGTGGGTACAGCCAAGAATGAAGATTTCCTAGAGTGATCAAGAAACAACAAAAAAGACAGAACTGGAGAAAAGAGAGCAGAGAGATGTAGCAGGAGATGTTACCAGAAAGGAAAAGGGAACTAAATTGCATGTGATATATGGTAAACATGTCTAGGGACTTTAGACCTGAATGAGAGGAAAGGCAAAGAGGCATCAGGCAGAGGAGTGACATGATACAACTCACATATTAAAAAGTTCACTATGGCTGCTGTGTTGATAATAGACCATGGAAGAGCAAGAGTGGAAGACAGAAGCCCAGGCAGGAGGCTACACAATAATTCAGTTAAGAGTAGATGGTATGTTAGACCAGACCTATCATAGTGAAAGTAGTGAAAAATACAAATGCAAGATATATTTTGATGGTAGACCTGGCAGGATGGTGAAGGAAATAGAGGAATCACAGATGATACCAAGGTTATTTTATTTTATTATTTTAGTAGATGGTGGACAAAAAATAACAGCATCCAAAATCTCAAAAATGTGTATTGTTTTCAAGTACGTATACAATATTTACAAAGTTGACCATACATTGGGACAAAAACAAGTCTTAATACACATCAAAAGATGGTGTGTGCTAGTTCTGTAAGTGCAGAAAAACTACCTAAATTTACTAAGAAATTTTTTCACTTGCAAGGGGATAATAATTATACCTTCCTCAGAGTTTTATTAGATAGACAGACGGTAAGTAGATGATAGATAGATAGGTAGATAAAGAGATAGAGTTTAATGTGTTTTTAGTTTCTGCTAAGACCTGAAATTCTATAAGCTAAAAATAGTATGAAAATAATCCCTTAAGGATCAAGGATCTAAGACATTTTAATATCACAAGAATAAAAAAATTCAAAATAAATGTAAGTGATATAGCACACTGGATGGAGTTAGTAAATTATTGTTGAAAGATGAAAGCATTACCTAATATTAATTCTCAAACTTTGGCCAAGCATGAACATTATATAGAAAACAAAACTATAACATTATTATATATAAGTAAATATATGCATATAATTGAGTATATATCTATATGTATGTATTTCCGTAGAGAGAGGGAGAGAGAGATAAAGTAAATGCAGCAATTGCAATTAGTGTTTATAAGTAAAGGATACCTGGGTGATCGTTGTATGATTCTTACAAATTTGTATTGTCTTTTAATCTCTGATATAAGTTTGACTCTTTTTCAAAATAAAGTATTAGGAAAACATAGTAAAGTGTTTGTAAAAGAAACAAACACTTTTATTTCTGGATGTGATAGAGTAGCTGGTGGTCAAGACAACATTTCTGCAAAAAATAACAGGAAAAGCAGAATAAGATACAGAAATAATCTATTGAAAAACAGTGAATCACTGCTAAGTTAAAGAGAACTGGAGTGACTGCAAATTCAGAAAGATTAACCTTGGAGAGGGGAGCTGACTCACTGCACTGTCTCAGGGCACACCTGAAAATCTAGGTTTGGCATGCATGGAGGACCCTCTGGGGTTCAGAATAACTAGCAGTGTTCCTATCAGATATTCTATAAGTCTCACCACGCATGGCTGTATTTTTCCTCAGGACATTAGCCAAATTCTGGGTCTTGAGAATAAATAAATAGAGAAAAAAATGAATAGATAGTTGGATAAATGGAAGGATGAATGGATGGATGGATGGATGCATGCATGCATGCATAAATACATAGTCATAAGTGGAGAATTACTTAAAAGCAGAGAAGAGATTTTGATGGTGTCCCAAACCAGGCAAATATTAAATATTGTGACCCACCAAATAAAATGTCCCCTAATTCTGGACTTGTGCACAGGGACTGTTCTGGGGGAAAGAGAAGCCTGTGGAGCTGTAGGCAGTTATGTTGTCTGGTAAGATGAATTGGATTAAAAAGGAGCCTAAACACACAGCTGGTTTTCCCCAGAGGGAATTTCTGAGTTTGGGGGTTGGGAGTTGGGGTTGTAAGAAGCTAGTCCTGGCCTACACAGGCAAAATGACATCACCTGCAGCCTTGTTGTACTTAGAAGACAAAAATTCTACTAAAGGGAAAGCCATCAACGAATGTAATATAGGTCTTTGGCTCAAATATTTGCCAAATTTTGACCTTGCTGTATCCAGGACACTAAAGGACCACTCCCAAGGATGGGACTGAGCTAGAAAGGCAAAGTGAAATTTTTCTCAGTCTTTTGGTTCTTGGTTAATGAAGTCCCTCTAGAGGGAAAAGACATGTATCAAACACAGGACTGTTCTCAAGATATTTGTTAGAGCATGAAGATGTATATGGCTCCACAGAGTTAAAACTGAATCTCGTACAGTGTTTAAAGGATGGAGGAAGAAACAGACAGAGAGAAAATACCAGGCTTTCAATCAAACCCTGGGAAGTTAATACCCCAGAAACAGTTTAACAAGCCAGGAGAAAAATGTGGTGTAAGTCTAAACCAGTCAAATTCCAGCTCAATTAATAATTGAATTTTTATGATTAGCCCCTCACCCTTGCTCCCTCCAGGGGAAAGACCATCTCTTCCCCAGTAGAAAGTAATGTCATTTTATTCTCTAAGGTGCTTTAAGAGCCAGAATGTATAATGAATAGTCAAAAGGAACAATATACAAACAGACCCACAAAAAATCTACATGTTCGAGTTAGCAAGGGACTTCAAAAATTACTATGATTAATACATTAAAGAAAATAGAAAAAAAAGTTAGAAAAATGTATAAGATGATAATATATTTAAGAGAGGGTTAAATGCATAAAAACAAAATCAGTCAACAAATGGTACTGGGACAACTGTATCTCCACATACTAATGAATGAGGATGGACTTTCACCTCATGCCATATACAAAAATTACTCAAAATGAATCAATGACCTGAGTGGAAGAACTAAAACCATAAAATTCTTAGATGAAAACTTAGGGATATAGCTTCAATTATATGATCCCCTTGAGAAAAATAAACAGAAAATAAAATTTGCTAACATAATGCACATACAAAATTAAAAAAAAATGGTTTAAATTAATAATAGTTAAAAGTTTACTAAGTGTTGACAAAGAACACTTTGTGGTTAACAGTTTTTGAAAAAAATTTCCCTTGAGACTGGGAATAAAACTAGGGGCTCCCTACCAATACTTTTATTAAACGTTGTTCTGAAAGTCCTCAAGCATGTACTATGTCAAGAAAAAAAACTTTGAGAGTATAAAGCCAACTTGTCATTATTTTTAGATGACAAATTTTTATGTAGAAAATCCAAGTTTAGAACGTGTACATGACTACAGGAATATCACTGGACAAAAGAAAAATCTACATCTATCAGTTGCATTTCTAATACCAGCAACAAAAATCAAAATTAATATTTTAAGAAGCTTAATTAAAATATCAAGTACCAAGGACATAATAATGTGTATTTGAAATAAGTTAGAACCTCCAAATAATGAAAATACATTTAAAAAATTCCTAAATAAAATGTTCATATTCATATATGGGAAGGCTCAGATTGGCAAAGATGTCAACAAAGCTTAAACTTATTTATATATTCAACGTAATCTCATTTAAAAACCGAAAACCAATAGCATTTTGGAGGAGTGGACTTTGCAAAGAACCAAGTGTAATCAACGTAATGTCAAAGTAGAAAGAGATAGAAGTAGATAGAAAAAATAACAATTCCCTATACAAAAAAAAAATAGTGTCTGATCACTTGGATATTCATAAAAAATATAGGTCTTGAGGCCTATCTCTTACCAAACTACACACACAAAATAAATTCTAAGTAGGCCTAAATATGAAAGGTAGAACAATAAAAAATGAGATTATTTGAATAACTTGATAGGAAAAAAAATTAATGTGACACAGAAAGAACTGATCATTACTTCACTATATTAGTATTTTAAAACCCATTTATTGAGCGAAAAGACAAGACACAGAAACAAAGGAAATATTTTAATACATATATCTGACAAAGAACTTATAACAAAAAAGCATAAAGAAATCCAACAAACAATAAGAACAAGATAGACAACCCACTAGAAAAATTGACAGAATACTTGAATAGCAGAGGCATCAAAAAATGATTATCAAAATGTCTCCCCAAGATTTTTTTAAAAAGAAAGAAAAGTTGCTTAACTTTATTATCAAGGAAATGCAAATAAAGCCAAAAAGGTATCATTAAACTTTCACCAAAAATCAAAAAAAAAAAAAGTTACTGTCAAGTTGATTCTGACTGATAGCGACCCTATAGGACAGAGTAGAATTATCCCATAGGGTTTCCAAGGAGCAGCTGGTGGATTTGAAATGCCAACCTTTTGGTTAGGAGCCGACCTCTTAACAACAGCGCCACCAGGGCTCACTTTCACTAGGAAGGCTTAAAAAAAAAAAGTAGAAAATATCAAGTATTGGTGAAGATGCAGAACCTTGGGAATTCTCATGAAGCACTGATGGAAGTGTGAATTGGAACACTATGGAAAATAATTGAAAGTCTCTAATAAAGCTATGCATTCAGAGTACAGAGCCCTTGCAGTATATTTTCTATATTCTCTAGTTCACAAGACTGCAATGAAGCTGAAAAATGTGATTCATACTCAGGAAAAAAAAAAAAAATATCAGTAGAAAGTATCTCTGAATGGCCCAGATGTTGGACTTAGACAAAAGAGACTTGAAGTCTTTGAATTATGGTGTTGGCAAAGAATACTGACCATCGCCTGACTCAAGCCATGGTGTTTTCAATCACCTCATATGCATGTCAATGGACAATGAATAAGGAAGACTGAAGAAGAATTGAGGCCTTTGAATTATTGTGTTGTTGAAGAATATTAAATATACCATGGGCTGCCAAAAGAATGAAAAAAATCTGTCTTGGAAGAAGTTCAGACAGAATGCTCCTTAGAAGCAAGGACATCAATGATTGTGAGGATGGTTCAGAAATGGGCAGTGTTTCCTTCTGTTGTACATATGGTCACTATGAAGAAAAATTGAATTCAGGGCACCTAACAACAACAACATGACAACAATTACTCATCAAAAAGAGAACCTCAATAAATAGAAAAACAAATATGCAAAAGTACCAATGAAATTCTGTAGTTAAGAAGCAAATAACTGAAATGAAAAAATACACTGGGGGGATCAACAGCAGATACGAGATGTGTTATGGATTGAATCGTGTCCCCCAAAAATGTGTGCCATCTTGGCTAGGTCATGATTCCCAGTATTGTGTGGTTGTCCTTCATTTTGTGATCTGATGTAACTACCTACGTGTTGTAAATCTTAACCTCTATGTAGTTAATGAGGAAGGATTAGAGGCAGTTATGCTAATGAGGCATGACACAGTCTAAGGGATTAGATTGTATCTTGAGTCGGTCTCTTTTGAGATATAAAAGAGTGAAGCCAGAAGAGAGGAGAGGTACCTCATTATCACCAAGCAGAAAGAGCCAGGAGCAGAGCACATCTTTGGAT